TTATTTTATTTATTTTTGTAAAGACTTTGCGAGACGAATTTAAGTGTTTCGTCGCGCAAAGTCATGAAAGATTTTTACAAATAATTTTTTATTTTCTTTATTTTTGTAAAGACTTTACGAGACGAACTGCACCGAATTTTATTGTTTCGTCGCCGCGACGAATTTAAGTGTTTCGTCGCGCAAAGTTTTGTCGCGCAAAGTGACTTTGTGCGACGATTTGTATTTCATTGCGCAAAATTTAGTCGCATAAGACTTTGCGTGACAAAGTTTAATTTTCGTCGCGCAAAGTCACTTTGTGCGACGAATTGTGTTTCGTCGCGCAAAGTTTGGTCGCGCAAGGGTTTTTTTTTACTAGTGATGATAATTTCACCCGGAGAAACCATAGATGCCTTGTTAATCACCAACCAGCAAGTTGGTCAATATTACATGGCTGCTAGGGCTTACTCAAGCACTCCTCTTATTCCCTTCGACAACACCACAAGCACAGCAATAGTAGAATATAAAAATATTGGGAATAATTTTACTCCATTTTCTTCAACACCTCCATTGCCTACCTTCCTTATTATAATGACACAAATGCATCTTTGTGAAACCCCATATTTTTAATATTTCATAAATTAATTGTATAGTAAGTTACGTAAAGATAGCTATTAACTAATAGCCATTCAAATGTTATTGCATGGTTTTATTTATTTCAGCACTATTTATCATTATTATTATTATATATATATATATATACACTACTACATTTTTCTATTTGCGCGACGATAGTTTGCGCGACGAAGACAAAATCGTCGCATAAAAGATCATCGCGCGACGGATAATCATCTGCGTAGCGCAAAGAAGAGCGACGAAGAACTTTCGTCGCATAAAAGATCATCGCGCGACGGACAATCATATGCGTAGCGCAAAAAATAGAGCGACCAATAAATTTCGTCGCGCAAAACAACTTTGCGCAACAGAACAAACGACCGTCGCGTAAAACAAGGGGAAAAAACCGCGAACAAACATTTTGACGCCTAATTCTTGCGCGACGACTAAACTTGTCGCAAATGACATCTTTGCGCGACAAAACACTATCCGTCGCGCAAAGTACGATATACAAAACCATTAATCCTAAGCCTTAATTTTAATTTTGCCATCTAAATCATATATTTTTCATTGATTTTAGTGAAGATCATCATTCATACCCTTTTAATTATGGGAATGGTAGAGGAGAATCTTTTTGTATGGTTATCAACCTCCATACGAATAAATTTCAGGGTTATCAATTTCCCTACGAAGAGAACAGCGCGAAATATGTTTTGAAACTAAAAAGTGTTCATTCAACTCTACAAAACTAATTTCAACGATCCAACCGTTAAACGTGTTTGTATATACTGTGAGATTGTATACCCCAAAAATCGCAAATAACAAATATTCAGAGATCTAGAAATGGGACAAAATATTCAAATGTTATAAATCACCACGTTTGCGCGCCAACTGATTGCGCGACGAGGACGTATTAGTCGCGCTAGGAAGTTTTGCGCGACGATAAGTTATTTGTCGCCATATGATGTTTTGCGTGACCCAAAAATCCATACGTCGCGCAAAATAAATTGCGGGAAAACAAACAGTGTTCCAGGTGTTTCGCGCCACAACTTTGCGCGACGAAAATAAAGTAGTCGCGCAAGGAGGCTAGCGTGGCTGCGTGCGTGTCAAACTGGACTTTTGCGCGACGGAAATTCTCTATTGCGCGACTAATATCATGTGCGACGAAACGATTTTGGC